CTTGGAGTTCAATGAGTTCACCGCGAAGTGTTTGGTTTCCGGTTTTGCATGGGCTTGCAGCTGCCTGTGCAAATGTGCACAGAGCAACAAACAAAATCGCCGGATCCGGATTCGGAGTGCTCCGTTGCCTGGGCGCCAGGGGAAGATGATGAGCTTTTGGGATCACAAGAACTCGACTTCTGCCAACCAGAGGCGGGGCTGCTCAAGCCGACTTTTTTGCAGGTCACACAAAAACATGAGCGGAATGCTGTCATGCTCCCGCACTGCAACGAGAACTGGGCGTTTGTTGCCCACTCCCAAGCACAGTCAGACTGACAGGTTGCAACACTGAACAGCAAAAGGTGTTTCACGGGGTTTCACATGCACAAAAGGCAGAGTTCTGAGCAGAGGGTCCAACTAGCTCCAGGCATCCTCCAAAGAAGAGACACACATGAGGTGCCCTGAGTGGGTTCCAGCGGTGGATTGGTGGGATCAATGACTTGTGACTTGGCAGACGCATCGACACGGCGCTGTGGAAGTTCCAGAAGAAGTACCCTGAGAACCCCCACCTGCCAGACCCGCTGCTGCCTTAGGGCTGAGGTTTCAGCCGAGTCAAGGGCGGTTGTTTGTGGGTGCAGTTCTGCTTGAGTGATGTTTGCTCGAGGGAGTTGGAAGCGCTCCTTCCTGTACAAGGGGTCTTGTGGCACCTATTAGCTGTGTGACGTACCCAACTAGAAGCGGAAGAGCACATTTGGCAGGGCTTGCATGTTTCTTTAGGGGGCCACCCCATCCCTGTGGCGTACTTCCCAAGCTGCCAGTTCGGGCAACTTTCGAGTGTGGGCAGGGACAGGTAGGGAGCCCACCTCGAAAGCAACGCGTGCAGCTTTCGCTTCTTTTTTGAAGATAAAATTCCCCGATCTCGGAACACTGCTAGTTTCTCCTTGAATTCCTCCGGCTTGCGTGGCTTTCCTCCATGCCGTGAGGGAGTGCGACTTCGACCCGAAGGTTTTCTATCCCAATTGGCCGGATGGCGACTTCTGAAGTTTAATTAGGGGCCGGTCCCAAAGACGGAGCCGCGACGTAGGTGACCAATTCCAGCACGCTGGTGGCATACGGCCCATCAGTTGGCTTGGTTCGGATGGCTGAAGAGGGTGTCAAAGCATGCCACTCCAAGTTGGTTGAATTTCTGACAATTTGGGCAAAACATATCCTTCAGGAAGGGGTGAACAAGCTTCCATCGCGGGCAGATGTCAAGCATCCGTTGGCGATAGAAAAGGCTCGCATCGCGCCCCTTGCTCCCTTCAAGCCACCCTGACGCTGTGATGGAAAGTTCTAAAAATTTGTGGCTCACAAAAGCATGGACCACGGGGACCGCAGATTTTGTTGCTATGAGCTGGGCATACCCCGTGCTAAGCTGGCAGCCACTTGTGAGTTTTTCAAGTGGTAGGGTTGCTTGAAAGGGCCCCTAGTTTGGCAGATTCCAAGATCCAAACTAGTTAGCTCTTTGCATGCCAGGTCGGTTGAAGATGAATATCCAAAAATGCCCCTTGGAATCTGAGAGCATGTGCGACTGGCAACATCTCATTCTGCCAAACAGGAGGAGGGGCCGGCCCATGGAAACGGGGTGACCTTCCCTGAGACCTTCCCTGGCAGGGCTGTCCGCTGTCGCCTTATTGGACCTTCCACTGGCCGGGAGCTTGGTATCTTCGAATCAAATTGATGGAAGTGGAAAAGGGGGGTTCCTTGGAAAGGACAGAAGATCCAGCGAGGGTGTCTTCTTGCCATGTCTTCCAGGGGTTCCATGGTTAATCTTAATAGAGCATGCTCAGCGCACTTTGACGTGTGTGTGTGTGTGTGAAGCGACGGCGAACCGTGTGCACTGCGGCATACGTACATATATACAGACATATATATATATACATAACATATATATGTATATATATATATACATAACATATATATGTATATATATATATATATGCTACCCCCCCTTGAAATACTCAGGTTTTTGGGCAGAACTGAGGTTTTTAGCCAGACTGGGGGTGACAAATGCCTTGAGACTCTGACATGAACTGGACACTGAACTCCATGCAAATTCTAAACATGCAGAAGATAAGCTCAACGTTGATTAGGAGTTGCGAGTTGTGTGACCGTCACATTGGCGTGCGCGAAGTGCACTTAAAGTCACATTCAAATATACAAAGTGCAATTTGGCAGCTCCAGCTCAAAAAACACAACTGTTCAGTACAGGAGTAGTGCGCGAAGTATGTTTTGGCAGCTTCAACGCGCCTGTAGCAGCCCTATTATTTGGTGTTTATTATTTTTGTTTGGCAGCGAAATTCAGCAAAACATCAACTCGGGGAAAAGGATCTCATTCCTAATCCTGTCCTTGCGCAGTTGCATTTACATGCTAACTCGAGTTGTGTGCATAATTCCTGACATGCTAGTTCAGTCTATTTGAAACATATGTTGCAAAGCAACTATCCCACGTGTGTGTGTGTGTTGCTTGTCTAAGTTGGTTCCATCATCGCCAAGAACAAGTATTGAAATTTAAGGGAAGAATATCCAGTTAAAAAAGCTTTCGAGTTCAAACCAAATTCAAGTTTACTCGTTTGCAGTTTCTTGTGCATTTCAATAAGCAACTGGAGAAGATAGCTATTGTCATGCCCAAATGAATTTGGAATCAAACTCATTTTTGAAAGGGTTATTGTCCTTGTCGAACTCCATGTGGTTTGAATCAACCAAGCAAGAACTGAGCCAAGCCAATGACAGGAACGGGTTTTCAATCATAGATCCTATTCTTTGCATAAATGCTGTAAAACGCAGTGCTTTTTCAGCATTTGCTCAGATCGTGTTGCCCTGGCTCGAAGATCGAATATACAAGATTCCACAAGCATATGTTTAGAATATACTCAATCTTGGTCCCCCAAAAACTTGACAGTTTGTTCTAGACACATTAAGGTTTCGCCCCCTGCATTGAAGATTGAAGATCTACCTAGACTTTCTATTTGAGAATCTTCCATCCTGGCCAGCCCTCAAGTCCACAAAAAACTGTAAAGGTGTCAGCAACATTTTTCCCCCTGGCCAATTGCAGGCAGTGCAAGTGCACATCCACATTTTGATTCTGACAACGTGCACTCCCGGTCTGCCTTTTACATTCTTCAAATCCGCACTTAAGGCAATCCAGGATCTGGATGGGAGATTGAAGATCCTCTGACAACTCTTTCTGAAATTCTCCAAGTATGTACTTAGAGTAATCCAGGATGTGCTAGCACGTGCTAGCACATCCTGGATTGCATTAAGTACCGATGCTAGAATTTAAGTCTAAACACGAGTGCATTTTTTAGAGCCTCATTTTAGAAGCTGGAACGTGTGTTTTGCATGCATTTTTACAGCCAAAATGTAAATTTATGGCCAAAAACCTGAGTATTCCAGGGGGGGTACCATATATATGTATACATACATACATACATACACGCACATATATATATATATATATATAACTATTCTTATTATAGATGCATAGATGTATAGTGGTATCGATCCCCGTTTTCTTCTTTGGTCGCTTCGAGGACCGTCTCGCGGCTGGTCTTCGTGGGCCTGCCGATGCTGCTGCTGAGCCTGCAGGCGCGGTTGTGCGCTCGCCTTTGGGTGGACTTCAGGGGCCCATTTCATGAAGCTCCATAGGTTTTTCTCAGTTGACTTTTTTGAATGAAACAAAAGCAACAACAAACTAGCCACTTGTTTTTTTCTTTCTCCGTTGTTTGACGCTTTGAGTGGCACTTTGATCGTGCTTGGTGAATGAACAACTTTGGGAGTACTTGGTTGATACATAGTGGATAAATGCCCAGATGCAAGCTATGGGATCCTGACTTGCAGGTGGACCTCTTCCTACCCTCCACCAAGTTGCTACCACAGACAGCTGTCATCGGCCTCTTCGTGTGTGGAGGCTGGGGTCGACCGGGCAAGCGCGGATGGGGGGCTCAGCTTGAACAGAGCGTGACAGTATGCTCCAAGTCTACTGAATGGCCTCCCTTTAGCCAATTTTGTAGCCCTTCAGGGTCTTGCGGCCCCATGGGAGCACTGCGTGTGTGCATCTGATATAGGAGACATTTTCTCCTGAGGGACAATCATGAGTACCGCCCTTTTGGCAGTAACTACTTCAGGCATGCCCACATGAGTAACTTATTACATATGTGAACCCCCGCTTGGTCGGTCTTGGTCTACCTGCGCCCTGGTGCACCTGTTCTAGGTAGGCCGGTGTTGCTGTTCAAGAGCATGCGCAGATTCATAGGAGCCATGGGGTAGCAGGGCATAGTAGATATCCTTGTTTAGTCCATCACCCGAGTTGGGGTAGACCCTTTTAATGCCAGGACTCATTTCGGAGGGAGCCGGGGGATCACTTCCCCGATCAACATGGAGTGTCGAGCCATCCAGAGACTTTTGCATCTGAAACCAAAGGAGTGGTATGTTTGGGTTTCAACGGGATTCGTCAATGACGAGTTCCCCAATTGTTTGGGGGTCGGAGCTTTTGTGTTCATTGTAATGGTTTCAGCTTCTCACGAAAGATTCGGTCAAAATACGTCCAGGCTCACAACATTTGCCACGGACACCGGGAGAAAACGTAAATCTGTCCCATGTCCTCTTGCGGAGCACATATTTTTGCCCGCAGCTCGTGAGTGCCATGCTCAAATGACCGCTTTACCTGGGGTGGGTCAAACGAACGCTTTACGGGGGGTTCGTGGGGATTGTCATCACCCATTTTCTAAGAAGATTAGACAGCCATCGAAAGGATTCCTATCTGGAGAGCCGTGCCCACGTCCCACATTTGGAGACTTTCTCACCTGGCCGCGCCTCCTTTGTGATTATTGAAAAGGGAAAGCAGCACCAACCCCAGTGTCCGGGACCGGTTCCCATTTTGAGAGAGGCGCCCATTTGGTTAGACCGTGGTTAGATGGCACAACACGCCAGGCTGCGTGCTCATCAGCCTGAAGTTCTGCGCCATGTGTGCCTGCCTGGCGAACCAGAAGCTTGCCCAGGTCGGCGATGAACTGCTCCAAGAGGGCATTTGCAATGAGAAGTGGCGGTAAGAAGTGGGGGTTTCTGGAGTTTGCTGGTCGGGGACGCGGTTTTGCCTTCAAACCATGAGGATCAATTTGAGGTCACTTTCATAGAACCAATTTAAAGTCCGTGACCCAAACCTCACTTTTTGGTGTCCCTGTAAACCAAACTGAAGGGGGCACGCTCACAAAGCCAAACACCCGTCTATTTTTCCAAGAGGAAACCAAGCTCGCAGCTTGCTTTTTTTGGGCTTTGCGCAGGCCATTGTGCTGGTGATATTCTTGGCGGCAGACTGGGTGAGCTCGCTGCACATTATGGCCTTGGTGTCCGATGACTTCAAGGCTCGTGGTTGCCTTTTGGTTGGACCTCTCATTCTTGGCTTTTGTTTTTTTTGGGTTGCAAAGGGTTCAGGTTGGCAAGCCTAAGGACTCCGGAAAAGCGACACTTTTGCAATGGGCGGAAAAGGGACGCCAGCAAAAACGCGCATGCCAAGGTTCCGCGCCGAGGTTCGGCGCCCACCGTTGTTGAGAGGCTCCCAGGTTTGGCCACCACTTTTCTCAAGAACACCGCGGGTTTGGATTGCTTGTGCATCGGGGTGGCTGTTGAGCCGCAGGACAGGATGCTGTTGTGCCTCTTGCTGGCCTCTGGCGCGGACAGGGGGGGGGGAAGACTGGGCAGACTGGCAAGTGGGTTTGCTTGTTCCGAAGTTGGCAAGTTGATCGTTCTTTTCTTCTGAACTGAGTGGGTCTCAAAATTAGGGACCCCCTTCTGGACTGGACCTGGCACCAGTCCTGGAACCCACGCAGTGGTGCTGGGAACGGTGCCGGCGGAACCACCCGCACCAGTCCTGGCCAGTGGCGGGTCGGGTTGGGCTGGGCGGGTTGGGTGGGTTTGGTGGGTTGGGTTGACTCGATTGTTGCTGAGGGCCCTTCAAAAATGGGAACGGAAATGGCTCTTGCACATTTTTTTGGGGACTACCTGAAACCTGCCCTGTTACCCACGACCTGCTGGTGATGCCGGGGATGTTGGGGTGACAAGCGGATGTTCCAAACGATGCTAGGGTAAAATACGTACATCTCGGGAGATAATGCTGCAGAATACGGCATTTTACTGGCCAAGACGAGATTCGAACAAAAAAGAAAGAGAAGCACATCCCAGAATAAATCCGTACCTTTTGGTTTTCCAGGTGGAAATGGTTGTTTTATGTGTACAAGGGGACGCGGATCTGATTTTTGCTCTCCAATAGCGATTCGGACAGGCATTGTGCAGAGCCGGGGTGTGCTGACCAGGCGCGCAAAGTAGTTCCGGGAGGGTGGGGATTTGTGGATCTGGGCATTCAGCCGAGCGCATGTAATACAGACCGCAAGGCGTCAAGAGGTCAGTCTCCGCAAACAATAACATACAACGAATTTGGAGCCGAGTCCGACTGGTGGAGTCCACGTGACCTGGTTCAGCTTGAATGTGGCAATGGCTGTGCGAGCCTGCAGGCCGTCTGAAGGGTTGATTGAATGGGGTGGAACCCTTCGCCGACGTGTCCAATTGGGCTACATTTTGGCTGTGGAGATGGGAAGTGGTAGACCAAAAACTAGAATGGATGGTACCTTGCTGGTTGTCAGTTGGGAGAGGGGCTGGGGGTGGGCCCTTTCAGTTTGGAAAAGGCGGGGCATGTGGTTGGGCATCCTTTTCTTAAACTTGGGCATCCTTTTCTTTTTACCTCCATGGGTTTTCGGAGCGCAACCCTGCTGGACAACTGGACTTGCTGCCTGCTTCTTGCCTCTATGGACATGGGGTTTTCACCCGCCCAAACAGCAAGGGGTCGATCTGCGGTCCAACCGCGCGAATCTGCAGGCTGAGCCTGCGCTCGCGATGGCAGCGCGCCCTGGCGCAGCGCAACGCCAGGCGCCGGGCGCGCGCCGCTTGCGCGCGGTTGGGAGGGGGTTGGTGGGTTCACGGCCGGACTGAGCTCACCTTTTCAATCTGTGATGGAACCCCTGAAACAGGGTTCTTTCTTGAGTTCCTTGTTCAGCAAGTTTTGTGGTGGAGGTCAAGAAGTTGGGTTCGGATTGATGAACATCAAGTGGCTTCAAAGGGTCATGTGGAAGCTGCGCGAGGTGTGTGCAAATGAAGAAGGATCAGCTCAGGGCAGGCATGTCCTCTGAAAGGGGGTTAACCTCCTCACTCGTTTGTTCCTCTCAGAAGCCACCCTCTTTTGTTGGCTGACCATGGATAATTTTCTCGACCAACGCTTTGTGGTCGGTCTTTGAACAACGATGGCATTTTTATTCAGTTTGGCTCTATCGGATTTCTCCGAAGGATTCCGCCCATCTCAAGGGGGAAAGAAGTAGTTTCTGATTTCTTCCAGGCTCACACGAGTGTTGGGGTACAAACGGTTCTTTAAAGGGTGCCTCGTGGCAACCGAACTCAACCAGCTCTGGCGCTTCGGTGCATGACGGTACTTTCTCGGCGCAGGGACCTGGGGGGGGAGCTCAGCGCGGCCATGGCGCCGGGGGCCCGAGCCAAATTTCGGGGCGCCGGGGACCCGTGGGCTTGGCTCCCGTCTAAAACCGGGGGGGGGGGGGGGGGGTGCCTTTGCAGAGGTCGCCGCATGTTCTCTTTTTTTGTTTTGCTTTGTGTTTTGCATGCTAGTTTTTGCAGGCGGAACACGGGGAGAAACGGTGGTGCACGGGTAAACAAATGCATTTCTGATGTCACCACAGGGTCCCCAACAGACTTATATCCAACCGAGTGGTCTGTCTTTGCGAGATACTGGCGGTGATTTGTGGAATCACAACTGCCAGCCGTTTTTGGATGTTTCCATGAGTTTGTCTTCCATGTCGTCTTTCAAGAATACTTATTTTACCAGTGTGAGTTTGAGATCCAATCATGTGAATTATACCAGCCGTTTGATTTTGTATGTTTGCTTCTTGGCGTCTCGATTCAGGAATCCTGACCTCTGTCTGCGAAGCTTCTTGTTATGAGATCGATTCACGAAGCCGAGTGCTCCTGACAGCATTGGGATGGAAACCCCCCGCCCAAACTGGAGCAGCCCTCAAGAAATGTTGAGGGCTTGCCACTGATCCCCATGCGCGAAAGGAAGGCGGCAAGTCCTGGGCGCAAAGCGCTTTAAACCAAACGCACCACTCTTCCTTGCAGGCATTCTCATGGCTCCAGGCGGCCATAATTCTCATGACCCATGGAACTTAGCGCGTAATTTTGCAGATGCATCATGCTCTGCATCTGGGCAGACAACATATCCTTTTCGCAGGGATCCAGGCGCAAAAGCTCAACCACTGCGAATGGGTTGCACACCACCCACGGCACCCAAGCTCTGCCATGTGAGCCATAAAAACCTGGATAGATGAAGGGTAGGTACAGTTCCAAATAGCTGAGCTGGGCTGTGGCCTGAATGATTTGCTGGTTTTTGGATGGATCACTTCAGTACCAGATGAAGATTCCGACTCCCGTGTTGTGCCCTGCAAGACGACGTTTGTCAAATCTTTCTGCTCGCTTTGCTATTTTCTAGGCTGTGCTATTTCGCAGATTCTTTTCTTCTGAGCCTATGTACAGGCAGCCTATCAAGGGCAACCCAGGGAACCAGGCATTCAGATTAAGCAGACGGTTTGGTGAGGGAAGACCAATGACATTTCAAACATGATCCGCGCTAACCACTACTTCCGGAGAGCAGATGGCGTGTGGCTAGATGGCGTGCACAGTGGTTGTGTATGCCACCGGGGGTTAGTGGTGTGGGTGTAGTTGAAACCATCTTACACAATCTGGGTGTGTCTTTTTTTGAGGGTGCCCTTTTTTTGAGGTTGTTTTCAAGGGACACACCACATGTTTGGATTCCCTCGAAACACGACCAACCCATATGCTCGGCATTTCATGTCTCTCGCGCTGAGGGAAAATGCCTCTTCGGACAGCGACAATGAGCAGGGGTTGGCAGCCCTGGCGAGCGGTGATTTCGTCGACCGGGCTATCACGGCTTTACGGGTTTGCTTTGTGCATATATGATATACGTGTATATATATATATATTCGTGTATGCACCCGTATGAGCATGTGAGTATGTAATTGACATGAAACAAACCATCAGGAGGGTGTTCAATATTGGTTCCTCCGGCATCTCCGGCATATGCGCAACTTTGTCTTGGGCATTTGCGTCAACCAAGGAGAACCTGCCTATGCTCCTTTTTCAGGCGAGATTCATCGTTTACTCCTGCAGGGCTTCCTCTGTCTGCCGCATGTGCAACAGCCAATGTTTACAGTGAAGAGGGGCCGGCTTCACAAATCTCCTATGTTAGTTGGGGACGCAAACCTATTGACTTTGCGAATGAAGCCATCGTTCTATTGGTTGCCAGGGCTCGCCAGGTGCCTTCACCCAGTGCTGTGGAAAGAAGAAGCGCTCTCTGAAACACCTGGGGGGTTCAGAATGGCATTACCAGGAACGAAGATGTAATCAGCATTGGAGTAGGTTGAGCCCCCTCTCTTTTGAGGGCGGCTCAGCTTTTGGTCCCGAGTTGATGGAGAAACTTGCCAGGTTTAGGCGTGCCTCAAAATAGTGTAGGGGCCAAGTAATTGCATCTATTATTCTCTAATGCTCAAACCTGAAATTTGTTCCATCTAATCATTTGGGCCCCTTTTTCAAGGATCCCTTGGACCCTTCCTTCATCTACTAAACTAACAGCAGCCCCTTTTTTGAAGGGAGCAGCTGAGTTGTACTCAAGTTGCCTCGTCTGGTGTGGGTTCGAGCTTGGGCCGATCCTCAGCACAGCAGCCTTTCGTTTCGCCTTTTTCTTTGTTTTTTTTCAACAGAGGACCTTCACATGAATCGTTTTCTCTGAACTTCCTTTCATGGGGTTTCGATTCCCGAGTTTCGCACCGGGACTCGTTTCTCTCCGGGGGGAAAACCCAGGCCGTGAAAGGCACTGGGCATGCGTGGCGCCAAGGCCTGGGAGCTTGCCCGAGGGCTTCCATGAGGCCCGCCGGTTCCGTCGGAAGCAGCCCTTTGAGGCTTTGCCAGGCTTGCACCGACCTTTGGTTGGAAAAAGTGGCCCAGCCGGGAGGGAGGTGTGGGTTCCTTCCCCTGCGAGAATTTCCCTACCCGGATTTTTTCGGGGTTCTGCCTGCCAACCTCGGCGTGGGGGTCCGTGGAACTCGCGAACCGGGGAACCGAGGCCCTGGTGGCGCTGCTGGGCTTCCAGGTGCAGCAGAACAACTCCCGCCGCCAGTTTCTCTGCGGCGTGCGCCTGGCCGGGGGCCCAAGGGTGGCTCGTCGACGCGGGTTGAGTCGGGAGTCGGGAGTCGGGTTTCGGGTTCGTGGGTTGGTCGGGTTGGGCAAAATCGAGGGGGGGTAGACTTGGGGCACCTGCCAAATCTCGCTGGCCGTTTTGTCTTTCTGCTTCTTCCCTCTTCTTGGCTTGGCTTTTGCTCGCCCGAGGCTTTTCGTTTTTTTGCTCGCCGCTCCCGCCTGACACTTGTTCTCAGCATTTCCACCTCCAAGCGGCCCGAGATCCAGTTTCCCGGCAGTTGGCTGGGCTAAGTTGAACTGTGTTGGATGAAAATCGGTGAGGAATGCTGGCGACTGGCGACTTCCTTTGCCAAAAGGAGAGTCAGCTTCAAGCACCGTAGCAAATGCTTGGAAGCGGCAAAACGTAACTAGTTGTGGCCATGAGTAGTTGTGTTGCACGTTAGCTTGCTGAAGCATCTTTTTTCAGCTCGGTCAAAGGGCCTTGTGTGCATAACTCGCCTTTCGCGGATCTTGTGAGTAGCTTTTGCTTTGGTTCCTTATGGCGAGGTGAATGTAGGGACGTGAAGCGACTTGTGTTAGACTCACATGAATTCAGGGTAGCTTGTCGCTTTGAGTGAGCCGCCTCCCATTCCTTGAGCCCAAGGCAGCGAACACAAACGAGGCCCGGAGCTCAACGGCAACCTTTCCGCCGCGCGTGTTTGACGGGGGGGGGCGGGGAGGGGGGGGGAGTTCTTGCAGCCCCTGGGAACCTTGCACAGCCAGAAGCAATCCGTGAGGACTACTGGGGGATCCCCAAAATGGCAGCTTCTACAAAAAGGAACTGCAGATTGATCAGTGCCCCCCCCAGCAAAGCACTCACTGGAGGTTGCAAAGAGGAGAATCAACCAGGGGTATAGTTCAAGAGTATTCCTGTCAAGCAAGCAGGTGAATCAGTGCATTCTGGAAAATGATTGGGTGACGTTTGTCATGCTGTGGGGTTTGAAGAGTGCCGTCACATGCGACTGAGATTGCGCTAGCCTACATGCTGAAGTCTGCCAGGCACAGACAGCTCCCGACGGGAGCCAAGGCGAGGGGATTGGAGGAGTGGAGGAGGGTGTGGGAAGGTGTGAGTGCCAGAAGCGATTGTCAAGAATTCGGGGACTCGCAACTTCCTCTCAGTCCCAAGTGTCGACGGCACTTGGGTTTGGGTGCATGGACTGGCGTCATTTTGACTCTGTCGGGCTATCCAAGTCACAAACTGGGTTTGCGTCACTTTAACCTGCAGGCCAGTTGGATGGGTCAAAGGTCAGTCTCCTCGTAAACCCACGAATTCCCCGGCCGACTTTTCTGGATGGGCATTCTCAAAGTCACTGCCAGCAAAAGCCTGTCCCTTCTCTTCAGAAATCAGGATCCTCCCAGGGCGCAGTGAGTTGAAGGTTTTACTTCTGGGCATCTTTCCAATGCTTGCCCTTACCATTTTCGAACTTCCCAAACGAGAACTCAAACCAGCATGCGTGAGAGGTTGCTTTTCAGCTTGAGATGTTCATTTGGACCCTGACTTTCCTTCTGGTCCATCCTTTCAAATGTTGCAACAGCCGGGTTTTGTTGTGGTCTTGAGAGTCGAAGCTTGTTTCAAAGCAAGCTATGCAAATGATTTATCTGAGCCTTGGCTTCTTCCCGCACAGGAGTTGGACTCGGGCCTTCTCAAAGATCCACAGGGAACAGTGTCGCTCCGAGTTCAACATGACGCGACTTGTGACAACCCATTTTGTTTCAGTGAAAGGGATATAAACGGCTTTCTGGTAATGTCCATTTGCCACAACTAGCCTCCACTCCCCTTTCACAGCTTCGATCATCCGTGTGGCCATCCCCCCAGTGCATGCCCCAAATTGCACGTCTCACATTCATGTAGACATCTAACACATATGTAGATGAAAATACATATATACATAAATACACATATACATATATATATATACACATGAACACATGTATACATAAAACAAATACAGTAATACCAGGGCCGGCAACCCTTACCATTGGCACTTGCCAGCAGCTCCGGCCGGCGCGGCCGCGGCCGGAGCCGGAGTGGCCGTGGCGCCAGCGGATGCTCCGGCGCCGTGGGCCGAGAGTCGGCTGTGGTTTTGTATTGGACTGCTGTGGATGGACGAAATCCTCTTAGGCACCACTTTGAAACCATGGTTGAAATCATTGTTTGTTGGTATTTACAGGGGAATCATGATTCCAGGGGTTTTTAGGTGCAGGATTTCGTACATCCACAGAATGACTTGCCTCTCTTGGTTTCCCATGTCCTTGTAGGATCGGAAGGAAGGAAGGAAGGTGGTGTTGAACACTCACAAGAGTTGGATGAAAGTAGATGGCGATGTCAATTCCAAGACGAATCAGACAAGTCATACCAGAAACACTTTCCCACATAGAGGGAGTTGTGCTATCTACTTTCACTCTCGGTGGGATGCCAACAAAACTGTGCAGCCAGTGACATGTTTCCCACAGCAAGTTCAAGCTCGTGCAGGTAGACCCAGCCCGCTTTGCTAAGGGAACAAGGACACATATTCTCTATTTTACCGGAACTTGCCACGGTTTTGCAGTTGACCATGACTTACCAATGTCGGGGTGTGTCCTTCTCTCAAGGAACCGGAGGGGACAGGGTGCCCTCATGAAAACAATGGACTCAGAAGAGAGACGGTGCCTTTGGAAGGTTCCCCTCCGCTTGGAGACGAAGCCAGTTGATCCCAGCAAGGAGTTGTTTGCAGTTGCGAAAACCCCAGGTGTGACAAAGGCCTTTGGGGATGTTGGATGTTGCGGCCTTTTTGCTGCTGGTTTGTTGGATAACTGGGTTCATTTTCGGGGCTCGCATTTTTTCAAAATAATAATAATAATAATGATTAATAATAATAATCAATAATACTACTACTACTACTACTACTGCTGCTGCTGCTGCTGCTGCTACTACGACTACTACTACTACTACTACTACTACTACTACTACTACTACTACTACTACTACTACTACTAACAGCAATAATAATAATCATAATAATGAAATACGCAGACCGCCAATGCGAAGCGGCCCATAGGGGAAAAGACCTTGTGGGTTGGACTGCGCGATGGGTCCACGGCCATATCAACTTTGTTTCTCCTTTTGCCGGCAGCAAAATCAGACCTTTTCTTTTGGTTTCTCTTTGAACTTCCGAACTTCCCGACCCTGAGAATGAGACAAGCAGGGTTGTTTGCAACTGGCAAAGCAGGGCTGTTTGCAACACTTGTTTAAACAACCAACCTCGGCTCTTGTAAGGGAAGCCAACATAAGTTTTTTACACAGTGGTTTCAACCATGGTTTCAACGAGGCAGTGGCCCCACCGCGTGTAAACGGAATTGGCAGAATCCAAGCTTGCCCGGCCTGTTGCTCCGCGAGGCCCGGCGCAACGGGAGGCAGGTTGTCGGTGGGCAGCCTCGAAGGCGTTGGTCCCAAAGGTTCCAATGTTGGTAATGTTGGGCCCCGAACTCTCTCTCTCTCTCTCTGCTTGTTTGTTTGTTTGTTTGTTTGTTTGTTTGCTTGCTTGCTTGCTTTGTTTGGTTGTTTTTTGTTTGTTTGTTTGTTTGTTTGTTTGTTTGTTTGTTTGTTTGTTTGTTTGTTTGTTTCAGTTTTCTTTGGGACATACCACAAGCGTGTGTGTGTGTGTGTGTGTGTGTGTGAGTGAGTGTGTGAGTGTGTGAGTGTGTGAGTGTGTGAGTGTGTGAGGTTTAGGCCCAGCCGAAACAAGTATGTGAGAGGACGGATTGGCCTGACACCTAGATTTGGTGAAAGAGGGGAAGACATGTTTCAAACTCGACCCCCTTCGTCTTTCTGGCCGGGGAGCTTTCAGCCGGGATCCTGCATTCCAGGGGGACAAGATGCACAAATGAGGGTGCTCCCCATTGAGAGTCAACACGCACCCTCGGGGGCAGTTGCCAATAGGGAGCCAATGCCATTTGGCATGAGCAATGGTCAATGTTCGCCCTGATGCGCACATATCCCAGTAGTCATGGGGGCTTGGGGGATTCCTTTCCGAGTGATTGATGAGGCAAGGGGAGATAGTTAGCAAAAGGGCTTGACCCTTTTGAGCAGAGGCGAAAGAACCTTACAGCCCCCAACAGTGGCTCGCATGTTTGCCTCCCCCCCCCCCCAAAACATCACATGTCACCCGAATAGTCAGTGCTAGGACACCCCAAAGAGGCATCATTCCCAGCACAGGTCCGGGTCTTCAGGCGCTGTTTGTTGCGGAAGCCGAGCCGCGTGCGGTCCATTCCCGCGCCAGAATCGCCTTTGCCCCTGGAGATCTCGCTGCAGCCTCGGACCTGAATTGGAGCCAGTTAATTACACCACTGGCACCAGCTGAATTGGATTCTTTCTGGAAAATTGGGCGGTTTTTGCATCCTTTCAGTTCAGGAACCCATTGGGGTGGGTTCTTGAGTAGAGAGTCTAGGCAATGAGTAAAATGGTGGGTCCCTTGGTTTGGGGAGCACATGGGACAACCCCGCATTTCCAACACAACCGGGCGGAAACCGCCGCCAGTTTTTGACGAGGGTCACATGTCACCTTTGGTGCAAATGGCACCCCTGTACGGTGCTCCATTGTCCTATTTTCCATTTGTCCAAGAGTTGGGAGGTGGTAAGGGACGGGCCATGGTCATTCTCAATGATTCTGTTTTGCATGTGGGAAGAACGCGAGTAAGTGCGACTTCACATGTTGCGTAAGGCACACTTTGTTTATAGCGAAAACACAATTCTGAGGATTGCGTTTTGGGTACCTAGTTCACCCCAGAGCAGACAACAGCGTCTCGCCTGCATTCCGACGCTTTTTTGCGCCGCTTTCCTGCTCGCAGGAGCGAGGAGCGGATCTGCGTGGTTTGCCAGGACCGAAACCGGAGCTTCGGACCTTATGGCCAAAGGTGCGAAATGATTAGATAGTGGGATCTAAGCATAGTGGTGTTTCCACCAATGGGGAACGCCTAAAAACAGGGGGTTTAGATTTTGTTCCCCTTGAACACCATCCAAACAGGTGGCTCCCAAGGTTTCGACAAACCCACATGGAAGTCCGACATGTGATTCGCGGGCCAGGACGACATCCAGCCTGGGGAACGCGTCAGGCGGGTGGGATAATCAACTTCACGGTTCTTTGCATTTTTCCCCACCAGCTGAAAGCTAAGGGGTCTCAGCCCAGATAAGGTTTGGGGGTGGTCTGGTGCAGGCCAGGTGTAAGGATCAAAAAAGGTTCCGGAGAACCCGAAAATGTCTGGTGCAGGCCAGGTGCAAGGTTCAAGGCAGGTTCCGGAGGTTCCCCGCCCACTGCCCCATCCTGGGGCATAACAAAGTGATCATCCACTTCAAAAGCAAGTATGGCTCTTGCAACGGATTTCGGACCCCGTGTGGATTGGTATAACCAGAGGGCGGCCGGTTTTTAGGGAAGCGACCTGCCCGGCCGTGGGGGGCCGTGGGCCAGGCCGCTGCCCAAGTGCTCCCACGTCTTCCACGCCGCCTGCCTGGAGCACTGGGCGCGGACCATGCGCGAGGCGCGATGGAATGGTGGCCGGACATGCAGCTCCGCTGAAATCATGTCCAGTCCCTGTTTGGCGCAATGTTTTTTTTTGGTGTTTTTTGGGATGGCGCTGTTTGTAGGGTTTCAAAGGGAACGTTGGGCACAGCAAGTAGGGACCGCCCTTTTAGTGGCCTATGGAAGCCACAAGGGTGCCATCCCAAGCTGGGGCATATGGGACGTGCGACTCGCTTCCCATGAAACGGCACCAGGGTTCCGAAAAGGGCCAACAGCGTATCAAAGTAGGGGTACCCCCCAAGCCCGGCGCGTTCTCCTTCCGGATATCCTCACCCACCTAAAACGGGTGCCAACTCCCAAAAAACCCGAAGCCCGAAGCCCCATATTTCAGGTAACCCTTAGTTGGTGGTCTGGATTAGTGGTTTGGATTCGGATTAGAACCCCTGCTTCCTGCAAAGAAGTGGGAAACCACGCCCTGGCTTCCAACCCACCAAGCCAAACCCCCCAAAAAGAAAAACCGAGGGAAGACGCCCCGAAGCCCCGATTTTGACCGCCCAAAGGGACTTTTGACGTCGGGCCCTGGAACGCCGGGAACGCGACCGCGCGAGTCCAGGCGACGCGCTGCCCCACCTGCCGCAAGCCAGCGCTGGCCCGGAAGGAGGCGAAGGTGCGGCGAGGGGGAAGTTGGGGGTTGATAGCGGGGGGGTGGCCACCGCCCCGGTTGGGTTTCATGTTGATTGTACTGTTTGGCAAACAGGGGGGGGGGTTGCAGCTTTTTGGAGAAGCCCAAATGGTGGTTTCCTTTTGAAGGTCCATTTGCAAAAAAAAACACGGTGACGCCTGCTAAGAAGAAAGGAATGTCGATCGCGTGCGGCGATATCGGAAAGGAATTGGTTAGATCCCGCGCTGGGGGGGGGGGGAAGGGAGCAGGTGCTATTTGCACCTAGTCGTGTTTCCTTCTTTTTTTTAACGCAGAAACCAATGCCCAAAGAGGAACACCTCGCACCATGTGTCCACCATGGAGGACGGGAGTTGGGATCGGAGGGTCCTAGGTGTCCGTTTGAAATCCACGGATTCTTGTAAGATCTGAGATGGGATTTGGGAGTTCGTTTGGTCAGAAGCCGGCAGATTTCGGGATTTTAGGCCAAACAAGCCCCTGCTTGGTTGGCTTCCAAGAGTCAGCTTCCCTTGAAGAACCCTGGAAGAGAATTGGTTGGTGGCAGAGAATTCGTTAGTTGTTTGGGGTGGATGGGTTGGTTGGTTGGTTGGTGGGTGGGTGGGCGGGTTGGTTGGTTGGGTTGGGTGGGAAACATTTCTTTTTTAGTCCTATTTTGACACACATGTATATTTGTTTTGCGGATTTCGTTTGCGATTTTTTAACTTCGACAGGGCTCCACCAAGATCTCGGACCTTCCGGAGGATGAGACACAGAGCCACACCTCGCCGCAACCCCGAGCGAAGCAAAATTTTGGAGCCCCGAGAGTGGCGCCTCGCACCTCGTGTGAGCCCATGCAGTTTTGAATTTGATCCGAGGCTTCCATTCTGAATAAGCTTGTGCAACTCCCACGTCTTCCAGGGACGCTTGCTTGGTTTGACTCTGTGGCAAAGCCGGGGGTCCCATAATTGTGCCTGAGCCCGTGCCAGGTTGGCATTGGAACCCCTCAGTTGAACGGAGTTTCA